AGGGAAAGAATAATGTAAAACAGAAGTTCAAGATGAGGCTTCTCCAGACTTAATGTCAAGAAGGAAAAAAAAATAGTTCATCAGGATGCAACCTGAGATTCACCTCTGTGCATCTTCACCAAAAGCATGCACGCTAGAAAAATGTGGAATTCTTGCTTGTAAACCTCATGCAATGTGGGTATGTTCATTTTCCCAGCACTTTGTGGCAGATGATTTTATTTATCTAATATTCAACATCCTAACTCAAAAGCATGACTTAATAGTCACATGATTTGACCTTTGGAAGTCTAAGTACTTTGACTTTACTCTGTTTGTGTTCTGCTATTAGAAAAGTTGTCAGTGCTCCTAGCAGTAAGGAAAAGTCAAAGGAGCAGACTCTTCTCTCTGAGGTTTTCCTTTAAGGGCATGAAAAATACGCCTCTGTATTTTTTCTTGCTGCTGAGCTGAAAGCTCTTGTGTTTTTTTAAGTTTTGGTGTTTTATGTCTCCCTCTTCAGGACGAGACACCAATGTCTTGGTCTACATCAAAAGAAGGCTAGCAATGTGTGCCAGAAGACTCGGGAGGACCAGAGAAGCAGTGAAAATGATGAGAGATGTGAGTTTGAATTCATGTTTGGGAACAATGACAATGCACCTGACTTACAGAAGGAGGAACCCACTGAATGGGGCCACAGCAGATAGTACCACTGATGGTGTGGTGGTCCCATAAGGGCTGGGGTTCTCTTCTAGCTCCAAACTTAGTAGATGAGTAATCTTGGACAAGTTGCTCAACTTGTTTGTGCCCTGTTTCCTCATCTGTAAAATGGGGATAACAGTAACTTTAGCAATAACAATACACTAATAATAATGATTACTACTTAGGAGTGTTGTGAAGATTAAATGAGATAATACATGCAAAGGTTTTAATAGAGTGACCGGCCTATTTAAGAAATCTCAGTAGATATCCTTATTATTAGACCTTTGGGACTGTAGCCAGAAGCCAAGAATGAGATCAGCCATTTTAGCTAACTGACTTTTTTTGTGTTTAGTTGTTAGGAAGATTTGAATAAACTATGGCTCAAATTGCTACTCTCAAATTTAATAACATTATGATCTAATCTTATTATAGTCACTTCAAGCATTTTCCTACGTTCTTGAATCAGGATATTTTATTAGTGGTAGTCAACTTAATAAGAGAAAATAGGTGAGAGTTTTAAAACAAAAGAGAACCAAAGGAGGTTATTATTATGTAACTTTAAATAAAAACAGTGGTTTTAAGGGAAACCAGTTGAGGAACTTTTACTTCCACATTTTTTTTTTCACATTTTTTTTTTTATAGTAAGAAATACTTTTCATAAAGAAACGGACACCAGTGGGAGTTGTATTTATAAACCATTTTCTTTTTAAAAACAATCTCAGAAAGCCTTTGTCAACGTTTTATTCTTCTACTGTCTTCCTGAATTAGGAGACAGGTAACTGCCCATTATAAAAATAAAAGAAACGGGTAAGATAAAAGTGGCATCCTGCCCAGTTCTCAGCTTTTGGGTTTGAGAACAGGACTGTGTAAACCCAGTGAGCCTTTCCTCAGTTTGTTTCTGGAAGGGTAGTAATTCATGTAAATTCCCAGTTACTCTTTGGTGGTGGGGACCTGCACTCCAGGCTCAGCCCTGGTTATTTCTGCAAGTTACAGTATAATGTGAAGGCCCAAGTGAGGCCCATACTTCTGGCTCGGGTTCTGGCTACTCCATTAAACAGCAGTTTAGCCACCAGATGTGAGGGGAGGAACAGAGGAGGGACATTCCAAGATAATTCTAACTTGACTGAAGGTGATAGATGTTTCTTAGGCAAAGCCACTGCAAGGGGGATCTCCCAGGATTAAATTCTTTTGGTCAAAGGAAAAATTTAAAGAATGTTATATAGTGCTAAATTTTAGAAAAGGAGATTTCTGTAGAAACATGACTTGCTCGCAAAGCTTTTTAACTTGCAGAAATTCCAGCTTTTGATATAGTGCAGAAACTCTACCAGTCCCTGAAAGAGCTGAGAATTTTATGAAGGATGGGGTATTTCTCTATCTTAAATGAATAGAGGTTGAATGTGGCCCAGCCACATTCAACCTTTAACAAGGTATTTTATATTTATTGCCTTTTCTTAACCTTAATTAGCCTGGGACAGGCGTGCATGGAGGAACAGATTTTGGTGATTTTCTTTATTATATGCTTAAGCAATTTCATAGGAAAAACAAACTCAGATGATTTTAATTCCAGTTTTTTTCAATCAGTCTCATGCTGATTGTCATCATTTTTAGTATATACATATAAAATTTCACATGATTAAAAGCAATATGTCTATACTATGGTTTGATTTTTGTTTAACCTTATTTTATATTTACAATCCCATTTATTGACTTAGTCTACAAATAGATCTTGGGGGAAAGTTTGGAATCCAGTGTAATAAATGCTGGGCAGGGAGTAAGAAAACCTGCAAGTAACTCTCAGCTTTGCTCTTCACTAGCTTTGTGACTCGGGGCAACTTCCTTTGCTTTCATGGGCTCTTCATTTGTCTTCTGTAAATTGGGGATAATGATTCTTACCTAAAAGAGTAACTGAGGGAGTCATGGGGACAGTGAAATGAGATAATGTGAAAACACCTGGCATATAGTAGACGTGCTTACCTTTTTCCCCTATTTTTTCTCCATTACATAATTATGTCTTAATTTGCTGAACTATTCCCCTGATGGGCATTTTGGGATATTTATGGTTTCTTTTTCTTGAATGAATCAATTAGTCTCTCTCCTTGTCTTTTCATATGTGTATACACACACATCCATATACATGTATATATCTATACTCCTATGTATATATTTCTTGGGTTACTTTTCTAAAAAGAAATCTGTCATATTATTAGACTACCAATACATGTTGTCTTTTGACTGGGTCTACGGAGCATCCAGTAGATATGGGCCCTAGTGTTGTAAACAGTCCAGTGAAGGACACTGTCAGACATGGTGGAGATTTGTTTTGAAGAGAAATATCCAAAGTGCTCTTTCCTTCAGAAACTGCTGGAACCCTAAACGGAGGAGGAGAGGTTGAGGCCCCTCTCTCTGTTAAAGCTGAAGCTGGTCCCCGCCCTGCAGCAGACAGTTGGGCCAGCCTGGCTCCTCTCAGGTCATGGGTCATGTGTAGACAGGGACTTCCCTGAGGGGCCACTCCTTCAACAGCATGCTCACGAACCATCTTGCTGGGAAGTTTCCTCTGATAAAACAGCACGCTGGGTTCCAGGCAGCCTGCTGATAAAGTATTAAGGCAGGAGGATCTAAGTTTTCATTAAGACACAGCCATCCTATCCTGTGTGCGTTAGTCAAAACTTTCCTAGAGCAGATTTTAAAGTGGACATAGAAATGGCAGAGTCAGAATGCCTTCCCTGTAGAAAGTAGACTCTTTAAAACATTTCTCTGGCAATCCCTTAAGAAAGGGATAACTGTTAAAAACTGTTCATTCGTGATTTATCCTGAAAGAGAATGAATGGGAATTCTGGGAAGGCCAGCTGTCGATGGTTATGGATCAAAATATTGATCCTGTAAGTGAAATATTGATGAGGTAAGAAAACATAGGCTCCTTAATGTCAAGACTCATGTTTTCTCGTTTTGAAAGCAACACATTAATTATTTTGAATTCCCAGAGTGTTTTCTCAAAAACTCACTTTAATTAGCTTCCTTTTGCAGTCAAGAATACAAAAGCACCTTCCTTACTGAAGGAGTGTTTGGCAGTGAATAGAGCTAATAAGAGAGCATGGTGGCTTTTGAACTTCACTATAAGGTGTTACTTATTATTCACAATGAAAAGAGTTACATTTAAAGAAAGTGTTTCTTTTTCAAATTTAAAGAAAGTCTATTTGCTTGTTCTCATTTGGGGGAATTTCGCCTCTTTTATTTTTTTAATTTTTAAAATTTTTATTTTATTTTATTTTTGTTTTTTTTGTTCTTCCCCACCTCTTTTATTAACATTTGATATATGACACAATTTTTCTCTTTTTAACTTCTACCATTTAGCTAACCTCACATTTTTCCTCTGTCTTTCCCTGGCCCTATTTGAGTAGATTGGAAATAGAATTCATAAAGCTGACTGGTCTGACCCCTTAGCCATACTCAGTCAGAATTGGTGTAAACTGGTATGGGTGGGATTGTGTGCTCAGATAAGAGGACCCTCTTAAAGCTCCTCTTGCCCCAGGTCATTTGGTCTAGGGTATGATTTCCCAGTCTTGGCACTATTGACATTTTGTGCCACATGGCTTTGTCGTGGGTGTCCTGTATTGTAGGCTGTTCAGCGGTATTGCTGGCCTCTACCCACTAGATGCAGTAGCAGCCCACCCCCTTGTTGCTCCCCAGTGTGACAACCAAAAATGTTTCTAGACACTGCTAGTCTTTAGACATTTGTCCCCTAGGGGAGGGGGTGTGCAAAATCATTACCCATTAAGAACCACTGATCTGGAGAATCCTACAGTGAGTAGATATGTTTTAGGGCAGACATCAGATTTTTATTCACTCTGCTTGTTGGTAGTCTGAGTTTCCCCTATGGTGGGTACAAACCTCTAAAGCATCCCTAGAATTGATTAGCTCCTACTAGAACCCTTGACCTGGGACCAGGCTGGTTTGAGGAGCTATTTTGTCTCATATGGGATTCCCTGAATAGGTATCCTGGGGTATGAAGAGTAAATGAACTTAAAGATTTTGGCGGTGTCCTAGTTGGAGGGATAAGAAAGAAACAGAGGCAAATATAAAGGCCTGATAGGGGATAGCAGTCTTTCTTGGTCCTTGTCCATGCTTCCAGATCATCATCTGCCTCTCTTCCCTAACATCTAAAGCTCCTTTGAAAGTTGACTGTAAGCTCTCAGACTTTACCACCTGTTTTGCCTCCTTTTGGTAGTTTTCTGTAGACCTCTGAGTCATTCTCCCTGATTCCTGTTTCACCCTCTCTCTCTGCAACACTACCTCTTTCTCTATCCTGGCCTCTCATTTGACACAGGTCATCACAACCTTCTTAAAACATTTTATTTATTTTAGGAAGCCATGCTCTCTGAGTTCTCCTGAAATTGCAGTCTTCCTAGCTAGATTCGCCTCATCTTCCTAACTTCCCAAATTTAAAGTGTCCCCTGGCCTGTCCTAAGCCTTCCTTTCTATTTCCATCTACAACTCTGGATGACGACATTTAGACTCAGAGTTTTAAATACCATCTAAATGCTGATGAACATTCCTGTAGTGTTTATTATGTTCTAGGCGTTATTTTAAGTGCTTTACAAATATAAATTACTTAATTCTCATAACAGCCCTTGACATAGGTGCTTGTTCAAGGTTACGTAGCTAATGAGTATTTCTGAGAATGTGATCTTCCAATCCAATCACCTGCACCAGAAATATCCAGGGTGCTAGTTGAGCACCTGCTTCACAGGATTAGTGTAGGAATTAAATGGAATAATCCGTACAAGGCACTCGTCACAGGACTTCACGAATAAGTACTCAGTTAGTGTGCTATTCTTACCATTACTGTCTAAGATATATTGTTAAGTGATAAGGAAAGGTGTAAATATTAGGTATAGTTTGATTCCATTTTTTTCAATTAA